TGCAGATGCACTGCACATTTTCTTTCCTATATTGTGTACCTAAATCCTGTTACTTTAATGAACCTACACAAATGGTTACAATTCTTAATTCACTGAGCTGGAAATTAACCCTAAGGTTTAATGTAAAGCTTTCCAGGGAATCTTCAGCCTTGTGTTTCATGGCTTCAGCACTGATTTCCTGCTTTGAATGTGAGGATCGTGTTAAAATGCAGCTGACTGGAAATGATACAAACTTTTCCAGTAAACCATGTGATCATGAAGCCAAAAGTGAAAGTCATTACCAACAGAGTAAAAGGGCGGTCGTCACTGGGGTACCACAGTGCAGACCTGGTGGAACATAGACTGCATAAGAAGGATGGACGTAGCGACTATAACGTCACCTGTTGGTTTGTGCACTGAGAAAAAGAAGGCAATTTTGCTACTTCCTGGTGGAAATCTCAAATTTTTGGTGGCAGAGACAAAAAAATGAATAAATAAAAAATTGCAAGAGGGCAGAGCCGAACAGCAGGGATTAGTCAGAGTGACCGAGGGCCACATTTTTCCTAATGAAAATATGGCATACGCTGTTTGACCCACCAGCAGGTTTCATTTATTCCCACCTGCATCATTTTACCACAGCTTCTATCTGATACAGTTAAGCATGCTTGTGAGGACTAGCCACGAGCAGCTGGAAGGAAGAGGCTGAAGACTGAGTCTGATATGATGGAAAGTTTTTATTTGTTCCTTTTTTCAATCAATAAAAATCTTCTTCAGAGCTGGTGCTGCTTCAACTGGTAGCCGACCCTAATGAAGATCCTGACAGCCCTTTTATAGCATACCACCAGGAAGCTTAACCCACCACCTCAGACACAGGGAGGTTATGTTCTTTTTCCATTATTAAATACTTAAGTTAACATTTTTATGAAGTTTTTTAAATATAATAAAATATATTTTTAACATTAACACCCATAAGTAATCACTATATTTACAATATACCCACAAAACCATCAATAAACACCTTAAACCTGAACAAAACCCCCCCCGCACCATTTCATCCTGTGGTTGCTCCCGGAAACTACAACAGGCGCTCGGACCCCCGGGGACGCATTTGCCCGAACACCCTGCCGGACCGGAAGCACCAGGACAGGTAGGTTGCGCAACACACAC